TGTTATTAGGAAACTTACGTGACATTCAAATGGCAAGTGAAGCTTTGTATATGGTGTGTGTGTGTGTGTGTGTGTGTGTGTAAGGATTCTGGATTGATACTCCGAGAATGAGATAGTGTGACCCACAGGTGGCAAGAAAGACATTGACCTTATTACCTTGGCTCTTGGTCTTCTGGGCATTGCATGTCTTCACTGTTGAGGGAGTTGATAAATACTGGATGGTTTCCTCTGTTTTGTTTTACACTTATTTGGAAATTCCTGGGACACTAATAGAAGGCTTTCCTGGCCACATACAAACTTTCAGTTAATTATGTGAGGGTTTTGAGTGGCTGGGTTGACAATGGAGCAAGAAATGAGACTAGTCAAAGCTGTTGACAGTTGTCGGAGAGAGAAGAACAGCACTGACACTGTAGACATTGTCTCCACAGGCAGCCCTGACAATGGGCTGTGTGGAGCACAAGACAGTGTTGCCATTGTCTTTGTGTTATTAGGAAACTTACGTGACATTCAAATGGCAAGTGAAGCTTTGTATATGGTGTGTGTGTGTGTGTGTGTGTGTGTGTAAGAATACTGGATTGATTCACCCCAAGAAGTTCCCAGAATCCCTCATGCTAACATGGGTGGTTTCCTGCCCGGAGAGGAGCTAGCAGCCAGATAGTCCTTCACACAGTCAACGGATTCCCAAGTAGTTTGGCCACCACCATTGTACTTTTGGTCTACTTCTGTGACACAACTGTCAAGGAAACGTCTGTTCATCTTTGTATTCCTAAGGCCAGGATTCAGCTGCATTTGGTGTCTGGTCAGGGCTGCCTTGTGTCCCCTATGGTGAAAACAGAAGAGCAGAAAGGGCCCCCTTGCCCCCCCCAGCCTTTTAGGAGGTGCATATCCTTTCCCCAAAGGTGGCATCCTCCTGATCTAATCATCTCCTGCAGGCCCCCATTAATGCCATTGCACTGATCATTAATTTTCAGAATATGAATTGGGGGGACCCATTTGGACCATAGTTGTCCTGTGTTGATGTGCATTTATATCTGGATTCAGGTGTATCACTGACCATATCCATTAAAGTAATGAGGCGCGCCACTTTATGAAGTGGGGGAACTCACTGCCTTTGCTGTGTATTCGCCATTGCTGGCAGGGGCAGAGCATAGGGCAGTGGGAAGTGGGAGGTAGGTAAATAGCTGACTATCTCCCAGGGAGCACAAACCAAGGGGGCCCTGGGTGGGGTTGTTTGTGTCCGTGGGTGAGAAGGAATGCAAATAGCTAGCACTTTCTTGCCTTCCTGTGCTTAATTTTCTAACATACTACACTTTCCTGCCCTCAAGCACCAGCTGGGCTAAATGTGTTTTGCAGTGCACATTCCTTGAGTCAGAGCTTTGCTCACTGCAGTCCTCTCTGCCCCCTCAACTGAGGCCCTGTGCAAGTACAGGAGCAGGAAGTGGTGAGAGCTGGGCTCTGGCTCTTGAGGGAGTAAGAATGAGGGCCTCTCAGGATAGGGTGCTAATAGATGTGTACCTGGCGGGGACAGGGCCTCCACTCCACTTCTCTAGCAAATTGGGGTCTCCTTTCACACATCCCTGATTGGAGGGCCACACGTTCCTCCAACAGCAGTCATTTTCTCATTTGATAATTGAGGAAACAAAGGCACAGAGATGCTTTCTTGTGGATGGTCACATGCTTTGCAGTGCTTCATCTAGGTGCCACCTCTGTCTCCCTGCTGGTGTGATGCCAGGGCCCTGGCCTCCTTGGCCCCCACAAAGCCTCCTGGAGCAGCCCTCTGTGCTTGTTGACTCCGAATTTTTGCTTTAGAAAATACAGACACTATAAACGGCATCTCAGGCTAAGTTCTGTTGTGCCTCAGTGAGGAATTCTGTGTGGAGGAGTTAGGGAAGGCTGGAGAGAAGACTTGGCTGTTGGCAAAGGCTTGGCTTTGAGAGCCCCAGTGCAAGCAGGGCTGGGAAGAGAAGGAAAGTGTAGGAGAGAACTGGGCACCAGGCTCTTTAGCCAGTGTTCTAGTAGGTGCTGCTTTACACAGATGCTTGCTCCTCAGTGTATCCTGGTGAGGCAGATGCTATTCCCACAAGGCAGCTGGTGAGACTGAGGCTGGGAGAAGCTCAGCCTCTCTTGCACAGTTCCTGTTGAGCAGGAGGGATTATAGTGACACAGCTGGGCAGGTGACTGGCTCATGAGTTCCTCTCTGGGCTTTGTAGGTAGATTCAGGGGTCCAGGCTGCCAAAGCTGGCATGGAAAATCTTCTGTGGACCAGAGAGCCCTGGCCCTGTGAGCTTGGAGCCAGAGGAGGAGGGGCATCAGAAGGCCCCAGGTCCTCTATACCCCTGTCCTTGTGCGTGACGCATATGGCTTTTGCTGCCCTCGTACTACCCTATCCTTTGAGGCAGGCAGCTTTGCCTGTTTTTTATGAAGAGAGAAACTGTTTACTTTGTTTAAAAAAATGAAATATCCTGGACAGTTTGTGCCCCTTCCCTTCTGTTTGAAAGGGGAAAGTGAAGTACCTGTTTGAAATGGTGCTGTGGGTGCTACATGTCCTGTTGCTGGTGACTGACATTGGCAGGTGCAGGGAGCAGAATAGATCTGCAGAGGGAGGCAGTGGCTGTGCTGAGCCTGCACTGGCCCATGCTGCTGCTCCGGAGTAGAGCCTCCCGTCATCTGGTCACCCTGAGGTAGGAAGCTGGCAGGACTTTGAAGGAGGTTAAGTCATTGACCACAACCAATGGCAAAACTACTATTGAATAGATTATGTAAAGGTACAAATTTCCAATGGTGAATGTCATATTGTATACCTGAACTGTACCAATAAAAACAAAAACTACCGACAGCTCAGATGGTCTGACTCTGGAATCCAGAAGATGACTGAGGAGGAGCCAACAGGACTTTGAAGTTGCCATCCAGTAGGAGTCAAGTGGCAGCTGCATTTCTGAGTGATGAGAGGGGAAATAAGGCAAATGATGCACAAAGGAGTCAGAGATGCACTCTCCAAGATATGAGGCCAGAGTGTCCTTGCCACCCCTCAGAACTCCCACTCCCTGGTCAGACCCTTACACCTGTCTGTCTCACTAACATTCTCCTGCCCACATTGCCCTGACCTCTGGTGGGGAGGGACACTCATGGGAGGGACCCTTGGGGCATGCTGTTCATCCAATGGCTCGTGTCCTCTGGTCACAGGGGAGTGGGGAAGCAGTGAATTTCATGAGGTGTTGCTATGTTTTGTCCCTAGGAAGAAATTCCAGGCCTCTGGTAACTCTCCTATACTCTCTGTCTTTCTTGATTTAAGCCAGCTTTTCTTTTTTCTAATGAGCTCTGGTCTTCAAATGGAGCAGGGAGGAAAAACAGTGGCGTTGGGAGTACAGTGGCGTTGGTGAATTTTCTTAAATTAATGAGACTAAATGGGGAAATCGAGATCAGCTGTGCAAATTAGCTTTGCGTTCTGGGTCTTAATGACTTAAATTGCAGATTCTAATTAAATGCCCCACAGAGGACGGTGAGGTGGCTTCTCAGGTCTTTTTGATTCAGTATGAAATTAGTCTGTAGATGTCCTCCCCCCTCAGCATTTCTGTCTCCAAAGTCTTGGTGATGCCAATGAGACCAGCCACCCGCCTGAGGGAAAGGCAGGCAGGTAGAGTGGGCAGGGGAGGAGGAATCAGAGGATATGAGTTTGGGGGCCCTGGGGCTAACAAGATGTTGGGGTGCAGATATGGCACCGTTGACTACACTGCTGAGTGAAGGTGCTCATGGCACATTCTCCACCGAGGTGAGATGCTGGAACATACTGGGAAGTGGTTGTAGGTGGAGCTCTGTCCTGGCACTGAAGTCACGCCCTGGCCTGTGCATGGACTTCACACCAGGGACCTTGACTGGCATGGCTGCTGGGTGCCTGCTCTCCCCTTGGTGTTATCACTCAGATTCTTCCGTGTCGTCCCTTCTGCCCCACTGGTGGTACATGTTGGGACTGCCTCACTGTTGTGACTGTTGCTATCCAAACACTCTTGACTTTCTCTTAAGTGAACATAAGTGTGCATTTCTTTTAGCTCTGCACTGTGAGTTGTATCCCCAGTCACAGGGTGGGCGCCTATGCAGCCGGAGTAGGGGCTCCTGGGGATTCAGGGTGGCCGCACTGCTTCCTCCTGCAGCAGCACATTCCAGTTACTACACCACACTCTCATTAGCACTTAGCATTGTCTGCCTTTTTCATTCCCCTTCTCATGCATGCGCAGGGAGATCTGTGGGTTCACTTTACATTTCCCAGATGACTAGTGAGGTTGACTTTTCATGTGTTAGTTGGCTTTATGGTCATCTTAACAGATGATTAATAATTTGTCTCATGAATGTTCCCAAACATAACCTGTAAGCTGGGCATTCAGACTGCTCTTGGTCCATTGTCAGAAGTATGCAGTATAAACATTTTTGTGCAGAGGTCTTTTTTTTTTTTTTGTACCGGGGATTGAACTTGGGTCCTTGTGCTGGTGAGGCAGGCACCAGAATCACTGAGATAAATCCCTGGCCCTGTGCAGAGGTCTTTTCCATGTTCAGGTTTGTTGGGAAGCATTTTGTTAGTGTTTACAAATGCTGTGATTGTTGTTTATAAAGTTTGATCAGTTGTCCTATGAAGTGCTTTTACAGTAGTAAAATGTTACCAGAAGACTAGGACAGCCCCATGCAGTTTCTCCCAGCAGTGCGTATTTTTACTAGAACAGCTAGACCTCTTTTGGAAAACTAATTTAGATGAAGATGGGTATATTTAGCATTGATTTGATTGTTACAGTTTGACCCATTTTACCAGGTATATTCCACTTTCGAGACTTCATACCATTTGCCACTTGCATCATTAGTGAGTTTTTGTTAATTCATACCAGTGTTACTGTAAAAATCTAAGGTTTAGTAAAATAGGTACTTTCTTTATCATTCTCATTGTTACTTTCATTATTTGTTTTGAGACAGGGTCTCTGTGTAGCCCTGGGCTGGCCTTGATCTTCCAATGGTTCTCCTGCCTCAGTCTCTCAAGTACTGGGATTACAAATGTGAGTTAGCATGCCCAGATCTCATTGTTACTTTTTGACTTCTCTACAGAGAGAGAGAGAGAGAGAGAGAGAGAGAGAACAAATGCAGGGCCTTGCACACTAGGCAAGTGCTGTACCACGTGCTATGTCCCCAGCCCTTATTTGCTTTTTTACTTTGGCAGACCTGTGAGTCTTCTCCTCCATGATTTCTTTGGGTACCCTGCCAGGTCATGGCCCTTGTTGATGAGGTGCCCAGGCTGAAAGCCCATGGGTGCCCCCAGTGGGAGTGCTAGTCCTCGACTGTGAGAGGCTGAGTTATAGCTCTTGTCCTCCAATTCCCAGACACAGCCCTTCCATGAACTGGCCTTGCTCTGGCAGCCCCACAGCAACACCAGGACTGAGCAGGTGCTGGGTTTCCCTCCTGCAGGGAGGAGTCCAGAGATCATATGTGAGGGCCCAGTGGCGTCTGTGGGACCCTCTCTTTTTCTTACACACTTGGTTTTCAACTACAGGCCAGTGTGATGGGTACAGCTATTCTCATCTTAGACACCAAATAGCTTTGCTCAGCGGGACTCGGCATCCTCTCCAGGGGCCTGTGCTCTTTCTGTGAGCCAGAAAGCAGGGAATTACATTCGCATCTTTTTCCTCACACTGCCCTGCCAGATCACTCCTGGAGGAAAAGGGGACTGCGCACTTTTTCTTTCCCATTCTCTGGAATTTGAGCAGAACTTGTGCTTTTGAGCTGAAGGTTGGATTGCAGTGAGTAGCAGTAAATGTGGAGGAGCTTCCCCACCTTTCTAACATCATGTTCTCTGGAGCCCCTTGATGGATCAGCTCAAGTCTGTCCTTTTCTGTTTTTAGATGATGGATTTGGATATGAATCTATGAAGAAATGCCACATGATCTGAGCACAAACATGTCCAGTAAGTCACTTGGTGAATTAACCCATGAGCAGAAGCCCAGGGGGTCCTTCAGACGCAGAGGGTAGATACCCTTGGGAAGTTGGGGTATCACTGGTATAGGGGGACCTTTAAGAGTATGTTTTTCCAGTGTAATTGCTGTCATGATGTCAGTGAAGGCTCAGTGTAATTGTCTTTACTTAGCCAGGACTTGTAGCACATGGGGTTGGACATATCTACAGCTCCCACCTTATTGCATAACCTGTTTCAGAGAGCAGAGCCAGGGTGGCCTCTGCTGACTCAGCTCCACACCTTCCTCTTCTGTTAGGTGAAAAGAGAGCCCAAGACCATAGCACATAGGAAGTCTCCATGGCTCAGGACAGGGAAAAGCAGGTTAGAGACTCGCGCGGCCTTTGTCTCTGCTGAGTCTGCTACACTGGGTTAGCATGTGCGTGGGACACTCTCCACACAGCTCTGTCCTATCAGAGGTTGTGGTGAACTGATTTAAGGTCATAAGGATTCTGTGAGAGACCTGCCAGCAGGAAAGCGTAATAACATCAACAAGAAAAATCTCAAAGTCCTGGTTTCTCACTGTTGAGACCACCATTTAGTATGGCAGTTTTGTGAAAAGGAGATGGTTTCTCTTTGGGAGGTACGGGCACACTGTTGTGTTGGGGCAAGGGAAGAACTGACTAGAGGAGACTGAGAGCAGCAGCCTTTCCAACCCCATTCCTCATACAGCCATCTTTTGGTGTCTTACCAGTGTTTGCTTCTATTTCTCAGGGCTACTGCCACCATAGGACACTAGGGTTTGGTGGCACTGCTTCCCAGGGAATCAGGTGTGGTCTGATCCAGGAACAAGAAGCCCATCCTCACCAATGACATCATGACAGCAAGAGAGCACAGCCCTCGCCATGGTGCCAGGGCACGTGCCATGCAGCGGGCTTCCACCATCGATGTGGCAGCTGACATGCTGGGGCTGTCTCTAGCAGGTGAGCTCACAGGGCTGGAGCAGTGCTGGGAGGACATGGGGTGAGGAAGGGTGCCTGGCATGGCATCCTTCTGGGTGACATAGGAGCATGGCACGGGGAAGGCAGCCACTTCTAGAGGCTGCTTCTGCTGGAACATGGGCATCTCAGTTTTCCACTTTGGTTGGTTACTCCAGGACTTGGTGCCTGGAGGCAAAGATTGGATGTGCACAGTGCCATCTGGCAGGTGCCTGCCATGGTAAAAGACCTTGCTATTGTGGCTTGCAAGCCTGTGGAGGAGGGTGTCTTGGTCTTAGGGTCTGAGATGTCTTGGGCATCACTAAGGCAAAATGTTTAGAAAATGAAGAATTAATCTCCTATTATAGTTTGGGTGGGAGGAGGGAACAAATAGAGTGGAGTTTTTTTTTTTTTTTTTTAAGTTAAATTTAAAAGCAAGGAAAGGTTTATGAAGGTTGCTTTTTCTGTCATTTCTTTCCTATTCAGGAAATATACAAGATCCAGATGAGCCCATTTTAGAATTCAGTTTAGGTAGGTATCTTTTTATCATTTTCCTTATCATTATTATTATTTTGTTTTTAAAAAGTCACTTAACCACAGAACAACAAAACCCTCCCACTGGCATGGATTTATCTCCAAGAACTTGTTGCTGCTGAGGAGTTTGTGAGAAGAACTTCCTGTGGGCAGGAAGGAGCCCTAACCGGGCTCCATCTGCTAAGCAGGGGCTGCCCTCCTGTCTGCATGTCTCCTCACTTCAGTCCTGCAGTGGCCAGGGATGCCAGGGGACGGAGGCGAACCCACCCAGGCTGCTGCAGTGATGGTCTGTCCCCTCCTTCCTGGCTGGGAGAGGTCAGGAGTAAAAACTAAACTCAGGTGCCTCACTATGCTCAGATGAGAGAATACTGAGAATGGGTTCAAATGTGCAGGGTCTGGGGTGGGGCAGTGTGGCATTACTGTGACTTACCCAGGAGACTGGAGGGCTGAGTGGTGTCAACCTGAGATGCTGCTCCTTCAGAGTCCACAGTATCTGTCGCTTCTCTCCCTTTCTCCCAGCCCTTGGTGGTCATCATGGGTCAGTGGCAGCAATGTCCAGGAGGTGGTATGACATAAGAGGCCCCTCCTGGAGGTCAAATGACTGAGATTCTAGTTCTGATGGTGCCAAAGCAGCTCATGGCTTTGAGCCTCCCACTTTACCTTGCTGACCCAGGTTCCCTATGGGCTCTGTCTCACTAGTTTGAGATACAAGATGATCAAAGCACTTAAGCTCTCCTACCCCTAGAATGACTTGGACAAATCACAAACCCCATGAAAGTGTAAGTGCATGATTGTCAGGTTGATATTAATCTGTGAAAACGTTCCTGTTTCAGAGTCAGTCTTCCCAAACAAACTCAGAGGGTTCCCAATGTGTCTGCGGCAGGGGTGAGCACTGAGCTGTGTGCTGGAATGTGAGGTCTGGGGAAGCATCCCACGGTACTGGGCGACCCACACTCCTGCCCATCCACCGCAGAGCTGCCTTGCTTTTCACAAACACAAAACTGACCCATGGACTTTGGATTTTGATGGGAGAGCGAGTGTTTCCAAGAACCCTCTTATCTTAAATCATCTAAAGCATTAAGACAGATAAACAGAAACACAAACTCCAAACAGTGCATTTTGGATCCCAAAAGTGTCACCATGGAGTAAGGGGCAGAATGGGGGACTTGGGAATGTGAGACGGGAGCGTGGCCACGTCTTGAGTTTCTGTGATGGAACCGAGGCAGAGCATTATGCAGAAGGCCCTGTGACAGGAGACAGCAGGGCCTATCTCAGTTAGTGCAAGGAAGTTTGGGCGCAGCCCTGTAGGGACTAGAGGGCTATTTTTCAGGAGCAGAGAGGCTCTGGGCCAGCACAGAGGAGTGGGGATAAGGGCTCAGTTAAATGCAGGGAGGAAATAGAAGTCTTTATTGAATAACAAGTTCCCTCCACCCCCCAGTCTTGCTCCCATCCTCATCTGCCAGGCCTGTGCCTGCAGCCAAGAGTCTCTTGCTTTGGAGAAAGCAAACTAGCCACTCCCCACGAAGAGACAGAGAAATGCTGGACTTCTGGAGCCTACCCTCAAGCAGCTGGCTGGGCCTGGTCCTGCTGGGGGAGCCCAGCCTGCACGCTACCCTCACATGGCCCTATGATGCCTCATTCCTCCATATGAAGATGGGAGCACAAATGCTCACTGCAGCCTTGCTTAGAGTCACTTGCAGTGGAAACGGCCATCAGCAGGATTCTTGGCTTTGGTGGGATAGTTAGGAGAGGGATCCCACTCAGTCAGGAAAGGAAGTGCAACTGGTACATGTGGGAAAATCTGAAAACACACACAGTGAAAGAAAGAAGTGATATGCAGTAGGCTGTGTGCTGTTTGATTCCAGCTTCATGAACTCAAGAAGACTGAGCTGCAGTGATAGAAAGCAGGTTAGTGGGTGTTAGGACTAGGGTGAGGGTGGACTGGGAGGAAGGCTTCGGGGTGATGGAAATGTTCGGTATCTTAACTGGTAGTGGTTATGTGGACGTAGATGCTTTATTAAAACTCATGGGTGGTACATACAAAATAGTTATATTTTATATACAAATTATACCTTAAAACTGATTTTAAGAAAACAATAGAATAGATGAAGACCACCAGACCTGGGTAGGAGGTCTTATCACATGAAAGAAAAGATGCAGAAAAAAATTGAACTTTGGAAGAAATAGAGATGTAGAAGTAGAGAAAAATGCCAGAAAAAACCTGTAATTTATATTCCAAAGAGAAGGCCATGCACTTGTGTGTACAAGAAAAAGATTCCATAAGGAAGGAGAAAAAAAAAAAGAAAGAATAGAGGCAGTCTTAGAAATTTTAAATATGACAGATACAATTTAGAAATTCAATGAAATTTGGAAGTTATTTAAGGAATTCTTCCACAAAGCAAAAGTTTAAAAGCAAAATAGGAAATGGGAAAGCGATGGAAATGGAAAATTATTGAGTCAGTCTAGGAGGCTGAAGATTTAAAAGAGAAATGAAAAAGAAGGCAGGGGGACACAATCAAGAAATAATACAAGAAATCTCTCAGAACTGAAGAAGGAGTTTTTAGATTAAAAATGCCTACCAAGGCTTAGCATGATTGAAAGAGACATAAAAGAATGTACATGGTGGTAAAATTTCATAAAAAGGAAATAAAATGAAGACCATTTAAAAAACTTCTGGAGAAGAAAACAAGTCCTATCCAAGAACTAGGAATAAAACTGGTATGGAACTTTTTTTCACTGACATTGAAAACTTTAAGAGACAGAGGGGCAACCCCTCTAATTATACTTTCAACCTATAATTTTCTATCCAAGCAGACCATCAACAGAATGTGAGGGTGAAGGAACCATTTGGGCTCTATCGAGTCTCAAATTTATTCCCTCTGTCTTCTTTTTGGAAGTTATGTGCACCAGCAAAAAGAGGGAATAAATTGAGCAGAAAGATGACATGGTATCCAGAATACAGGGCTTATACTAGAGGCCATGAAAGAAATCCCTCATGGCTCTAGATGAGTAGTACATGCTTAGCCTTAATTGTGTAGAATGCAAATTTAGCAAAAAGCTGAGCTGAAATGATAAGAGTCCAGAGGATGAGAGTTGTGTCATTAAATTAAAAAGCCTCATTCCTATAACAGAAATCAAAGCATTGCTGAGTCTGGCAAATCAAGAGCAGTGATACACTTATGTTAATTAGACGCTCTCACAATGAAATAACTTAAAGAGGTAGGAATGACTTTGTGAACTGAATTTTACCACAGTTGTTTTTTAAGGAAGGTTACCAAGAGGAGAATGATCAAGTGGTCAAATATATTGACTATTAAAAGAAAAAAATAGTTTGAAAATTTAAAAATTACATATGTGTGTGGCCCCAGATGTGGTACATGCCTGTAGTCCCCGCACTTGGAAGGCTGAGACGGGAAGGCAGGAGGATCACCGTGAGTTTGAAGCTAGCCTGGGCTACATAGCGAGATCCTATCTCAAAAAACAAAAACAAAAACTGCATACACTTTTTTTTCTTTTAATAAGGGAGGGCAGGGGTAAGGGGAAAAAATGAGAATCAAGACAAGATCCCAACAATGAATGTAACTGTACTGTATCCTTAAAATGTACCAATAAACTCAATTAAAGCTGAAAAAAAAATTAAACTCAAATCAGTGTCATAGTTAAACCAATGCCTTCCAAAATAATAAACCATAGCCAGTCATGTTCTTAAAAAAAAACCTTAAATATCAGAAGTGTTAGGGGCCGGGGATCTAGCTCAGTGGTGCTGCTGCCTGCCTCATAAGTGCAAGGTCCTGAGTTTGACCCCCGGTTCAAAAAAAAAAAGAAATGTAGAAGAAAAGCATACTTTATTGAGAGAGATCATCAGTTGGGGGCTGGTGCAACTCTTGTTTATATATACTTTTTAAAAGCTGTTATGTTGCTGTATGGCGGTAATGACTTTGGTGGTAGAGGTGATGGAATCATTTAGAAGAATGTAATCCCAGTATTCTTGACAAACTTCTTTCGTGTAGCAAAACGTCACTGGCATCTTTCCATGTTAATAGATATGGGTCTGGCCCCATCGTTTCCAGTGCTCATATAGAGAATATTGCATGGTTGTGTTGCTTATTTTAACCAGTCTTCTGTTGTTGGGCATTTATGTTCTTTCCAGTTTGCCACTGTGAAGTACTGCTGCAGTGAACACACTTATATCTAGGTCTTTCATACATTTTGCTAATTACTTTCTTAGGATAAACTCTTGGATTTAGAATTGCTGGGTCAAATGATACACACTTGAAATATGTTTTATCCTTTTACTTTAGAACCATTTATTCTGCATGCATTGGTCTGGGATTATAGGTGGTCTGGGTCCAGAGACAAGGCATATGTACTGGAGATTAATTGAAAGTGAGGCACATGTGATACATAGGAGACAGGGCTGTGGGCTCCTCAGGGGAAGCTTCCTGGGACCTGGGTCACCAAGCTGGTCAGTAAGCATTGCATGAGATTTAGGCTGGGTGGGGGAAGGCTGGGAGAGTATCACTTGCAAAAAGCATGTTCTGCAGGGTATGGGCACTTCAGCACTTAAAGTTCTGGCTGTCTTCCCTGACTTTGGCTACCTGAAATCATGGTGAAAACCAGTAGCCTAGAGAGCTGGATATGGTGGCGCGCATCTGTTGTCCTAGCACTCAGGAGGTTGAAGCAGGAGGATCGTTGTGAGTTTGAGGCCAGCCTGAGCTACATAGCAAATTCAGGGCCAGCCTGAAATTCAAAGGGAGACCTTGCTTCAAAAAACAAAAAAACAAAACAAAACCCAAAAAACAAAAACCAGTAACTGAGAAATTGTGGGGGCAGAATGAGATCAGAGATAGTGTGAAACCCCATTCTCAGAGAATTGTCATTATCTGAATCATCTGGCAGTTTCCTGAAAAATATTTGTGGGATTTGGCTTTATTCGACCTAATTCATAATTTACCCAGTGGGAACAGCCTTTTTTTTTTTTTCCCTGAGAGTGTTTG